ATTACATCTTTATACATTGTGTGTCCAAAAACATAGACTAGTAATTGTTTTTTAAAATGCATTAGTCTCTGAAATCATATAGAAAACAAAACTTGGAGTCACAAACCAAAGTTACAATAATACTAGCTTTTAGACTAATAATTGCATTTTATACTAGAACTTTTATTGTCATTTTAACTTCTGTATAAATTGCTTAAGAATGATTTTGGTTGGGAGAGGGGGAATAGGATGAGATAAAAAAAATCTTTTTTTTTTTAATTTAGCAAGGAAAAGGAAAAAGGTGTAGAAGAAGAAAGAGGAGGAAAGGGAGAGGAAGAGAATGCTTCTTATCCCAGTCTCAGGTGATCCATGTCCTCTGGCATAATACTATAGTTTTATACATGAACCTTTTTTTAAAAAAAAACACTATCACTAAGTAAAGCTTGTCTATAATTGTAGGCTTTATTTTTCAAATTTAACAGTTGAATTTAGGATTTCTGTTTCTGGTCATGATGGAGTAATTAGAACTGGCATTAACTTCCTGTCATAAACAACTAGAAAATTGGACAAAATATAAGAAAAAAAAAATGCTTTCACACATTAGACAACAAGTTACCCAGGAGAAAAGAGAAAGAAATGAAGTAAGCCTTACGATTGCCCTGGTTTTCTGTCATGAGGAAATTTCTGGACCACAGACATTACAGAACAGAGTTCCAGAAAGGAGGAAATTATGCAGAAAAAAGAGCTCCAGAAATCTCCATAGGAGTTTCCTCAAGTCTTTGCTGACTACTAGGCCATGCACGTAGAGTAGAAATCTACAAGGCCAGGGAATAAGTGGGATGTTGTCGATGATAAAACTGAAGAGGAACAGATGGAGAATAGGGAAATTTCCTGGGTCAAATATTAACATCAAAGGGACTATAAAGAATCAGAGATTTAATGATAAATTTATGGTAAATATGAGACCTACCTAGTAGTAGGGCTTGATCTTAGCCTGGAAATGAGGTGTGGAATGGGAGTAATGAGGGGGCTCATCACCCCCTGTAGCTCTTCTTTATAATTCTCCATTAGGGTCTTCTAAGTTAGTGGAGGTGTCATTCAAAACCTACCACCAATTGGATTCAAAGTGATAGAGTTGCATTCTAAACTCATTGTAAATTGCTGGGTTAAGTCAGGATAGGCTGTTACACTGGACTATCAAAGGACCCGAAATCAGTGGCTTTTGACAATGAAAATCTATTTCTCCCTGAAATTACATGTCTCATCCAGGTTTGGGGAGGAAGCATTGACTCTGCTCTATACAGTCATTCAGGGAACCAGGCTGACAGATCTTCCCCCATATTGTAGCTATCCCATCTGGAACTGCACAGGCAATTCAGTCACCAGAGTGGGGGAAGAGAGAAAGCGGAGAGTCTCGTACGGGTTTTTCACTGTCTCACCCCAGAAATGACACAAACTCATTTCTACTCGTTTTTCATTGGCTGGCATTAGTATTGTGGCCTCATCTAACTGCAAGGGGAACAAGAAATGTAGGGGAGCAAATGGAATATTTGAAGAGACTTTCTGGCTCTGCCACAACTAGAAAGCTGGTTTTAACACTTTCTCACCACCCAAAACTAACCCTCACTTGCAAACAGGTCTTGCTGTGATGCTGGGGATGGTGAGTTACCTGCTCCCCATTGAGAGGGAACAATGGTTGCCAGGGGCTGTCTCCTGCGACGGATGACCAGGTTTGGCTGTGCGGTAGAAGCCATTCAGTGGCTTCGATCTCCTCCATGTGGTCAGAGTCCAGCCCTGTAGATACTAGGGTCATTTTCTTTTTTAATTTCAGAAAAATCACTGCTCTCTGAGAGACTTCAAATTCCTTTGTGGATGTGTGTGACCCAAGAGCCATCAGGCAGATGAAATGACTTCAGTGGACTTACTGCTTTAACTGTGGTGAGGGTTTTCACATGTTTAGAAACTTCTGGTTACTTTCCATTTTCCTTTCTCCCTGAACAGTGCTGTGGGAATGTATGCAATGAAGAGTGTGTACTCTGCTGTCTTTACCCGACTCTATGGCATAAATCCCTACGACGGTCCTACCACCCAACCAAACATGAGCTTGGAAGGAGACACAGAGGTGATCCTTGAGGAATCAGGCAGCATAATGGTTGGGAGACAGGGGAGAATCAGCAAAACCCAAGAGGGAACTTTAGTTTGAGATTGAGGATTTGGGAGTACAGAATAATATCTGGGCCCTTTGCCTTCTTGGTATGTTTTCTTTCTTTGGCAATACTCCCTTTCTGGTTGGATCCCTGTTCCAAAAGCGTTTTCCCTTTTATAGCATGGACGTGTTCATTTTCTTTCCTCATATTTCCTAAGAAGTGTCCTTGGCTTAAGTGGATGAATAAAGGCAGCTTTAGTCCCTATCCTGTCATAAACAGCTAGAAAATGACAACACATCTCTGGAAACCCATGCAGAAGGCACAGAATGTAGAGACTGAATAGAATCAAACTTGTTGGCTTTCTTCATTTTTAGATGGCGAGAAGATTGGGTGAGGAGTGTCAGTATGGGGTGGGGGAAGCTCAGGAAAGAATAAGGCAGCGATACTTGGAAGTAGAAATGGGAGGGAAAAGGACATGAAAATGGCATCTGTGCGCTTCACTGAGTAGAAGGTACTTAAGATCCATGTGCTGTTCGCATTTCTCTGCAGAACTACATTCAACCCTGGCATCATGCATCAGTGCCTTTGGAAATATATCACAGCAATTATGTCCTTAGCCCTCTTGAGCATCTTCCTTCATGAGAATGTCCACAATGATGAATATAAACTTCTTTTGGTGAGTACCAGAATCTTATAGTGGAGCCAATTTTCAATTATTATGTAGGAAAATAAATAAATAAAAGTGCATGTTCAGGTCTTGTCTACGTGGAACACACTAGAATCACTGCAAATGTTCTCAGAAAAGAGAAGTGAAGACTTAGGGAAAGGTTTTTAAATGAATACAAAAGGAAGTGACATAATTTATTCATTTCTCTTAAGAAAAGGCAATTTACTTTCTGTAAATCACCCAGTCAAGAAGGAAAAAAAAAGAGTAACTTATTATAACGGTCAACGATGACACTAGAAAGGGACAGATGAAGAAAGGGAAAATTTCCAGGGGAAAACAGAGTGGCATTAGACCTCGGGGAGAATGGGAGATTTGATGCCCAATATGTGGTAACTAAGAGGCCCACCAGGCAGAGAAGTATGGAACAGGAGCGACTGGGATGCCCTCGCTTCCTGCAGCTCTCCTTCAGCAACTCCACAAGGTCTTCCACATTGTTGAAAGAAGCATTCAAAACCAGCACCTGCCAGGCTGATTCACAATTACTTTCTAAATTTTTTAATTTAACGCAGCCACTTCCCACCGGCCCTTGAAATATGGATAGGATGTGAATAGGGGCAGGGAAGAAGAGAGGGCATTGTAAGTGTGGGGAAGGGGCACAGCTGCCCCTGCAGACTGTGCTGACCGGAAGGACCAGCAGGCCCTGAGGAGCCCTGGGTGCTAGTCACCTTCCTCACCAGGCCTGCCATGGGAGATGTCTTCCCATTTCTCACATGGGGGATTTGAAGTTACTTCCCAACGTGTACAACATCTGCGAGTGAGAAGACCAAATACACACAGGTCATGCTGAGCTGTTGGAATCCATATTGTTTCTAAAACACCTCGGACCAGCTGCAGCAAAGGATAGGGTGGGTGTGGAGAAGGGGATTAGAACTGTGTGTGTGTGGTCAGATTCGAGCAAAAGAAAGGACTTTAGAATTNGAAGAACTGGAACAACACACATTCTCAGTAATGAAAAAGAACAGACAAAAAGAAAAAAAAAAAACTTCGGATGCCCACTGGGCAGTTCTGGGCCCAAGAGAAAACGGGCAACTTGAGGACCACTTTGTCATGACTGAGTGACCCACCAGGCAGCACAATGTGACAGCAGCCTGGGGAGCAATGTGTGGAATGACAGTGGCCATGGCTGGTCCACAGGTCTTCCAGGAGGGAAGGGATTACTCAAAATTCACCTTCACTGGTTTGATTTTAAATGACGGTTAATTTCCAGATTTCTGGGTTTGAGACGGGAGACTGGACAGCTGGTTTTGAAACTATCTCCCCACCTCACCCAGAAGCAGGGGCTTGATGTGAGGCTAGACTGCTGCGTGGCCCCCTATTCAGGGTAAACAATGGTTGTCAGGTGAGGTCTCCTGCGCTGGGTGACTCATTTCAGTGACCTCAGAGGAGTCACTCTGGGACCTCATCCTACAACACTGAAGTTTTTTCATCTTGATTTCAAAGAAATCCCTACTCTCTGATAAACCCTCAAGCCAATTTTCTGTTAGACAAAAACACTTCCATGGATACAGCATTCCAAACATGGTGAAGTCTTGCACATGATTAGACATTTCTGGTCACCTTCAGGCTTTTATCCTTACCAGTCCAGGAATGAGGGAAATATACCAACGAGAGTTTCCCTTGGTCCCTCTGACTTGATTCAAAACCTCATATATCTACCTAACAGAATCCTGGAAAGGATCAGACATAAAAGTAAGTACGGGGCTAATAGACATGACCCACGTTATTGACCAATAAAACCCAAGGGGAGACTTTGGCTTGAGTTTGAAGTTTGGAAAAGAATATAATTAACACCTAACCCTTGATTTCCTCTTCTTGCCAACATATCCCCTCTGGTTGGATCTTTAAACCAAGAGTGAATAAATGAAGGAAGAAGCTCTTCCAATTTCACCTGGGCACCAAGGCAGCAGGAGAAGAATGTAGAGGCTGAACAGGATCAAACTGATGGGCCTTTGTCCTTCCTTAGATGGTGACAAGTCGGGGGGGGGGGGTTGATCTGAGAGGAAAATCTTACGAAAATAATTAGACAGTGGTGTCCAGGAGAAAGAATGGGGGAAAGGAAATGGCCAGCTTCCAGGGAAGTAGAAGACACCCCTATGCTCTCTGAGCAGCAGCACTCAGGACCACAACCTGCTCACATTTCCTTGCAGAGCTGCTCCTCGGCCCAGCACCATGCACTGTTGCCGATGCAGATACGTCATAGTTGCTGTGTCCTTAGTTGTCCTGGGCTTCTTCCTCCCAGAGAATAAAGAAGAGCATGTTGAGTACAGTACATTGTTGGTGAGTACCACAAATGGAGGCTGGACCATTTGCCAAGCCTTCAGTGAGAGGGAAATTTTCCAAATTATGTGAATCATGCTAGTCTCATCATAGAAGTTCTAAGAAAAGAGCACTTGAAGAATTAGGAGAGTGTCAGAGAAAAGACAGATTTCAAACCAGCCTATAAATATGGGTAAGATTTTGAATAGGTGCAGGAAAGAAGAGAAGACATTTTAAGTGTGGAGAGGGCAATGCACAACTACCTCTAGAGGATGGTGCTGACCGGCAGGACCAGCAGGCCTCAGGGTAGGAGAGGCACTGGTCTTCAGCATTCCTATCAGGACCTATCACAATCCTAGTTTGCCGTCGTGATAATGGGAGGAAAAATTGGATGTGGGTCATGTGGGGAGGCAGGCAAATTCTAACCCTGCATAAGCCTAAGACCTTCCTGCAGACATTCCACACAAACCTGGGGAGCCCCGCTGCCCACATTTGGAACCCACGGCCTCTGCTTGAAAGCCCTGTGTGTTCTCATAACATATGGGAAGACTGGTTAACTGAGCCCTGAAGTTCGGCCTCCCTGGTGACTGGCCTCTGGGGCTGGCCCAGCCTGTCCTAAAAGAGGGATCTGCTCCTCAATTGTCTCCAGCAGATCTGGGGATGAACCTCAGGGCTGATACGTATATTATCCTCAGAAAGAAAAGGAGAACATAGTTTGGCTGATAAATCGGGAACAAATCAGCTCTGAAAGGAAGAACCATGTGGAAACCTTCAAGGAGATGCAGAAAAACTCCCCTTTACTCCAGCACGCCAACTACAAATTCCTGGCTGGAGCCCCTCCCCAGGAAAAGAGTGAGTATGTGGGAGAGAGGGTGACACTGGGAGAAGGCTGGGCAAGGTATTTCAATAAGACAAAGGCAGGTGGGTAANTGCAGACTGTGCTGACCGGAAGGACCAGCAGGCCCTGAGGAGCCCTGGGTGCTAGTCACCTTCCTCACCAGGCCTGCCACGGGAGATGCCTTCCCATTTCTCACTTGGGGGATTTGACGTTACGTCCCAACGTGTACAACATCTGCGAGTGAGAAGACCAAATACACACAGGTCACGCTGAGCTGTTGGAATCCATATTGTTTCTAAAACACCTCGGACCAGCTGCAGCAAAGGATAGGGTGGGTGTGGAGAAGGGGATTAGAACTGTGTGTGTGTGGTCAGATTCGAGCAAAAGAAAGGACTTTAGAATTGAGATAGTGAGTGTGAGTTCCTAAAGCCAGGCATTGGTCTTCAGCATCTCCATCAGGATGTAGCACAGTCCTAAGCCATGTTAAATGATGTTTGCCAGCCTGATAATGGTACGAGAAATTGGATGTGGGGTGTGAGGTGGGGAGGGGCAGGAAAATTCTTACCCTGCATAAGCCTGGGGCCTTCCTCCAGACAGTCCACACAACCCTGGGGAGCCCCACTGCCCAGACTCAGGAAACATGACCTCTTGCTAGAAAGCCCTGTGTGTTCTCATGACTAGGTGCAGAGAGCCATTAACTGAGCCCTGACACTAGGCGTCTCTGGTGACTGGATCCTGTGGCTGGCCCAGCCTGTCCTAAAAGGGGGATCTGCCCCTCAATTATCTACAGAAGATCTGGGGATGAACCTCAGGGCTAATACGTATCTTATCCTCAGAAGGAAAAGGAGGACATAGCTTGGCAGATCGCTGTTGAACAAATCAGCTCTGAAAGCAAGAACCATGTGGAAACCTTCAAGGAGATGCAGAAAAACTCCCCTTTACTCCAGCACACCAACTACAAATTCCTGGCTGGAGCCCCTCCCCAGAAAAAGAGTGAGTATGTGGGAGGGAGGGTGACACTGGGAGAAGGCTGGGCAAGGTATTTCAATAAGACAAAGGCAGGTGGGTAAAAGGGGAACTGGCTGGCATCTGGTGAGGAAAGGACGGTGCTCTGAGCGAGGGCACGTGATGGAGTTTGGTGCAGTGGGAATCCTGAGTGCATTTTCCTCCCAGCTGCCAGCTCCTTCAGTGACCAAGAGGATGAGAAGGCCACAGTGGCCCTGTGAAAGAGCCATTCCATAGTGAAGCTCATTCATGGCAGGTTCCCCAGGGAGAGGAAGACAAGATGGGAGAGGAGCTGGGGGAGCCATGGGAAAAAACAGTCGGTAGAGGGAAAAGAGGGCAGCGTGGACTTTGTGACCCAGTGCCCTAGACCGCCAGACACTTGAGTGGCCTTGGGTTTACACAGCACAGTGCACTAGACCGCCAGAACTTGGGTTTACGTAGGTCTCTGAGATCCTCTGATCCAGGTCCAGTTGATCCACGGTAGCTGAGATAATAACTCTGAAGGTCAAGGCCAGGCTATGATAATTTGCCAAGCCAGCAAATCTGCCTGTGGTACATGGTGGCCGTCCCCATCAGAGAGAGCCTTGTCCCTCATTACACTTCCCCTGCAGCCGTTCAGTGTCAGATAACAAATGAGACCCCTTCACAGCTCTTGGTCAGATATTAACCTCTCATCTGGACCATACTCTCCCAGGGAAAAGAACTGTGAGATTGTCACAGGTCTTGGCATGAAGGGGAAGACCTAGGAGGAGAGTCCTAGGACCTCTTCACCATCCTCAAGTGCTAAAGGTCCCCCTGTCTCCCCCAGAGCTGCTGACGGTGGGGATCTCAGTGTGGCGTCCTCATGGGAGCTACCTCTTGGACACCCTGCGCTCCCTGTTCCAAGCTTCCTCGGAGCCTGAGCTGCAGTACATCGTGGTGCTGCTCCACCTGGCAGATCCTGACCCTAAGTGGCTCGGCCAGACGGTTGCCAATATTTCGGGCCTCTTCGCACCACAAATTGAGGCTGGGAACCTGCTCGTGGCCCTGGGTCTCCTCAGTGGCTCTCCCCTCCCGGGAGATCTGAAGAACGTGAGTCACGCCTCACCCTGCGAAGGGCTTTATTCCAGGCAGAAAGCAGCTTATGCCCTGCTCATGAACTTGGCGAGCACACTCTCTGATTACTTTCTGTTGATGGAAGATAACGTTCGCTGCACCCCCAAATTCGTGACTGCCATCTATTCGGCATTATCAGCCTGGAAGGAACTGCCGTGGGCGATGCTGGAGTTCTCCAGCCTGAGGTTCTCTGGGAAGGTTTTCCACACGAGCGACCTCTCCCGCCTCGCCTCTTTCTTGCTCCTCTTCCACAAGGACACTCCTACTGACTTGCTTCTATCAAATTTTGGTTTACTCTTGGGCCAAACAGTTCCAGTTAGCCTTGCTCCCAATCTCTTTCACTCTTGGAACAATTACTCTACTTCTGAGGACAAATGTTACCACGAGGAAAAAGAAGAGGAAGGGAAAGAGAATCTTGGTGAACCTGACAACCCTCCTGCCGAGATCTACACTAACATGATGGTGAGAAGCCATCATCTCCCGGAACATGCTTATTCTCAAAATGAAAGTCACTTCCAGACTCACATTTCCCCTCCAGGCAGCACATATACTTTGGTTTTGAATCAGTCTCACAGTGTGACCCAGATACAGGTGCTGACAGGCCTTGGAAAGCAGGGGATATATCGCCTGCAACATGGACAGGTGGAACTGGGCTATGAACCTCTTCTGGAGAAAAAAGTCTGTGCCCGCTATATGCTGCTGGGACCACTGGTAAAGGGGGTACTCCAGCAGAAGGTGTATTACGAGGAAGACTTTGTGGAGGCAGTGAGATGTGTTCGACTGCTCGTGACAGACTATCAAGAGTCTAGTGTTTGTATTAGACAGATCAATATCTGGGTTAAGCCTGAGAAAGAGTAGGGATAAAAAGGCCAATGTGGACTCTGAAAGGATCGGGTCTGGGGACAGACTCAACACAGATGACAATAAATTACAGGTCTTACATTGGTCAGGAGTATCATACTCATAGTCATTCCAGGCTACTTAATCGAGGTGACACAGCCTCGTAAGAAGCAGAAAGAGAACTGGATCCATCTGACCCCCAATTGCCAGAGAGATGGAAGCATTCACCATGCCCTTGCCCAGTTTCCTCTCCTCACAGGTCTCCCATCCTAGGATCTTTCCCTGAGGCGGGTACTGCTTTACAGAGCATTGGGAATGACCTGAAACATGACATGAGGGTAGTACTGGCATTCTCCTTCATGTAAGGTCCAGTCCTCCAAAATTCCAAACATTGGACCCTTCTGAGGGCCCAAACATGGGCTTTCACCTGTCTACGAATTCCTTAGAAGTAGCTGCAAACCTTTGTATATTTCCATCTCTACATTTTTCTAGGACAAAGATCCATAACTTCCATCGGTGTTCCATATGTCCCCCCAAAAGCATAAAAATTACAAAACTGATGGATACACTTTCTTTATGGCAATAAACAATTTATTACCTAAGAGCATGAAATCATCTAGGAGAGGACTCCAAAAAGTCCATGGAAATTTTCGTACTATCTTTCAAATATATTTTTCCACAAACTTTTGGAAATACCCTTGTATTTAGCATTTCTAGGTTAAAAATTGAGGGCATACATTAATTTATTCCTTCACATATTTATTCCNCCCAAAATGTTCCTATTCATTTCAGTCCCTCTGTCTTTTACCACATGGGCACTGGTTCTGAGTTTGAGGACACATGCTTTCCTGTGGAGAAGGACAAGGTCTTTAGTGAACCAGACAACCCCACCGCTAGTGTCCTCACTGACATGATGTCACTGTGGAGTGTCATTCCGCAATACGCTTATACACTGAATGAGGAGTGTTTCTCCACCTTGGATCCTGTAAAAGGCAACCACTTGACAGTAGTTCTGGACAGGCCACAGAAAGTCATCCGCATAGCCGTGCTGACAGGCTCTCATGAGCATGGGAAGTACCTGCTGCAGCAGGGCCAGGTGGAACTGGGATACGATCTCATGGAGGATCCCAAAGACTGTGCTCGCTATACCCTGCTAGGGCCGCTGGTGCGAGGAAATTTGGACCAGAGAGTATTTTACGAAGAACATTCTGTGGAGGAGTTGAGCTGTATACGACTGCTGGTATTAGCTTCCCAAGAGTCTTGGCTCCTGATCAGGCAGATCAGAGTGTGGACTGATCCTGCAGAAGAGGAGAGGTAAAGAGCACAACAGGGATTCTGGAAGGATCAGGTTTGGGAATGGAATCTACATGGTTGGCAAGAAATAAATCAAGAAATTAATCAAGGGCTTCTAGTTCTGANTAGCATTTCTAGGTTAAAAATTGAGGGCATACATTAATTTATTCCTTCACATATTTATTCCGAGGCATTTTTTGTGAGTTCTTTTTGTTGGGCCCTATTCAAGGTAGGACAGATTCTAAAATGAATAAAACATAGTTGGTGTTAATAAGAGGGTAATAGCAACAACAAATGCTTACTATACAAAATGATAGTTTGTAGATTCTTTTGGATTTTCTTTGTATACAATCATGTATATGTAAGAAATATGTACAAATCCAATGCAATC